GTGGCCATGACAGCTGTAAGATAACAATCATGTGGGGACACGTGGAATAGGTTGTGGCACGCGCTGATAGCCGATTATTTGGGTACATTTGTTTTGTTTTTATATATTTTGCATTGATTTTTCTTTATTTAATTAAATTTCAATGTGATTTTGTTAGAGTCGTGATAAAATATTATGCATAACTTTTAGGTAATTTTACTATTTCTAAAACAGAATTTTAAATTGCCAATTTGTATTTCAAAAAGCAATTAAAATTATATATCGATAGATATTATACCGATCTTATTTAGATTTTATTTTTACGTCCTATGCAGCTGCAATCACACCTGCAGGCAAATATCTAATGCATATCACGCAAAATCTCATATAACTATGCTATGAAGCAATAAAATAGTAAAAGAATGACTATAAACTTATGATAATGCACGTGATGGTCCTTTAATTCAGGTCTTGAAAGACGTACGTTCTAATAGTTTATTGTTTTTTTTTAAAGATAACTATAAATTATTTTACGGATATAAAAGTTGGATTGAGCTTTGGCCCTCAGTTCCTTTCGCGGGTTACGCAGGCGATAGCCGATGTCACTGTAATCCGAATCCTCTACCAGTACACCGTCGGGTAGATAATTCGAATTTAACCCGTTTTTTCCCTTTCTTTTGTTATTTTTTTCCTTTAGGATCTTTCAGCGAAAAGTTTTGCGTTTGTATTTTATGTTATTTGTTTATTCGTTTGAACGCGCAAATTTTTGGGACTACCGCTTACTTATGTATATTTTTAAAAAAACTTATTGTATTTTTAATCTATTTATTGAGGAATTAAAAAAATCTAACATCACATAACGACCCTTAAGAACGAAGCAATTGTACAAAAATAAACAGAACCTCGGACAAAAGCTAGTATGTAATATCATTTTTCAAATAACTTCTTTCGTAGTAAATTATTGATAACTATAAATTTTGTCAATAATAAAAATATATAAATATGTCTTTATTTTTTTTATTTTAATCTCAAATTGTATCCCCATATAAAATGTTCAAATGGTAAAATATCCATATAGATGTTAAATAGGTACATAATATTAGTAAATATTAAGTACTTCCCTTTTTAATTGAAATAGCATAACAATTTTCCATATAAATTACCTAAAAATAGTAAATACAAATGTGATAAAAACACTTAAGTAATATAAACTGATGGAACCAATTCTCAGTAGTCAGTATGATAAAATCTACTTAACAACGTCTATGTAATGTTTATTCCTTATGAGAATTAATCTAAGCCTGTGGCGCCTGCGCCTGCGCCGGTCCTGTTGACGCACACCTGTCTAATGAATCCAATACTCGTATTTGTTTGTTGTTCAGATAAGTCGCGATAAATTGACACTAAACCAGATCTTACGGATTTTACCTTACTTGTTTTGATAAAGATAAACGTTTAACGTGTTGCTGAGGCTTTTAATAGTAACTTGAGCTGTATATCATATTTTTAAACTAGCATTTGTCTACGGTTCTCTCTGCGTAGTTTATTTTCACTCTAAGCGTTGCATTTCCAAAATTCCTTTCCAAACAGATACCTCTATTATCTGTTCGGAATCTCTGCCTTTCAAGTACGTAGCATTTATATTTTCTAAGGTTTTGTGATTAATCAGCGAGTGTGATTTTGTTTTTATAATATGTATAGCTATTAAATTGATATCTATTAGATAAATACAACTATATAGAAAAAAAAATAAAGGTATTTGAAATCTATTTATTAAGTGTGAATGTGAATTTCCTTACTGGGTACTATAAATTTTAATAACCGGTCTTGATAGACAAAAGGATAGACGCATTGTCTATTTTTTATCATTTCTAAAATTTTTAATTGCATAAAATCTCTCTCATCTCATGAGAACGTTTATGTTAATTGATCTATAAATGAGCAACGCGTCCGTCGTTTATACTATTGCACTAACAAAAGGGTTAGCCGGTCGAGTGCTATTGTTTTTTGGCTATAAATCTAATGGATTGCGTAATTATGTCCTTTAATATGTGACAGTCGCTTTGTAACATGTAAATTTATTCGGGAGCATATTGCGGGGTGAAGTGGGGTGGGAAAGAACTAACTTTAATATTGGGGCGCAATGGGATGCCACTTCACTACCCTGTTTAGACTGGGGTAAGCTGTTAATACTAAAGTTTAATAACTGTTTTAAGCTTAATATAAGTTTATTCTAAATAAATAATATCTCATTTTATACTTATAGTAAATTTAACTATATCAATAATCTAGGCAAATGTGTAGGAAAAATAAGTAAGTTAATGAAAATGACTTATATTTTTTTGTTTCTTTCGATTCATTAGTATTCGTCAATCATACATACAATGCCAAGACCGATCACTTACACAAGAAACAATGCGGACAAACGAAAAAGCGGAACTATATGCCCCCAGCACTGCACTGGCCACTTGAGTAGCGAACCGTAGACGCATTCGTAGACTTATTGCGATTGTTGTATTGTTTGCCGCACAAAGCTCTAAGTAGCCTCTCAATGTGAGAAACTGTTGCGAATTTACCAAGTTCGCGTGTGGGAATGTGGGTCCGAATATATATTATAATAAGAAATTAAACAATTTCCTTTTGTTACTTGAGAGCCATTCTAATAAATGCGAAATGTAATTAATACTTTTGTGAAATTTTATCATGAAATTATTACCATTCTACCTTTATATATATATTTTTGGCCTTTTTTGTCTGTTTAGCTAAACACGTACATACGTACACTTCATTATATCTAATGCGTTAAGTATAATTTTGTTATGTGATAAATATTTATTTACATATAATTTGGTTAATTTGACTTTGGATTTCATACAAGTTTTTTATGTAATGTGTTAAGCGAAATTCGCTCATAAAATTCATTTTTAAATATAACAGCAAGTAACTACTTACTCACGAAACTTATTTGCGAAATCACGAAGACTAATAAAGACTATGATCTAGTAATTTGGTTTAATTTTATGATCTAGTAACTTTACATTTTAAAGGGGAAGGGGGAATATTATATTTTAAGGGCAACACTTTTTGTTTTGTTTGTTGTAACTGTTGTTTTGTTAAAACTTTTTGTTAAAATTGTTTATCTCAATAAGATGGGCCGCTGTAACTGCAATCGGTCTGGAGTATATTAATATTATTATTATGAAAACGAAATACGTCTGCGAAATTGAATGCAAATATTGCTTAGTAACGATATCTTTTAATATTTGAAAATAATCACATAATTTAAAGCTATTTTAAGTAGCGGACTGCAGAACACAGAAGTAAAAGACGCGCGCGGAACGTTTGACAAAATCTAGTTCTTGTATATAATGATCAATATTATAATACTCGAATATCCAAATTTCATATGACCCTAATCTGAATTCAATAACAAAGTATTAAAATAACATTTGAGCAGTCAATTGGGCGGCAACGTATCGTCCATCGAGATAGCGCGATGGTGGTCCATTGTGGGCCGACACCCTGCGGTTCCGACGCAGTCGCCAGCCATTCATATAATGTGACGAATGTTTTATTCCTATTTTTATAATTGTTGCATTTACTTCCGCTTAGATGACCACTTCATACTTGAAATTTTGTGGGAAGCTTGCTACTTACCAACTTATGCTCAAACATTGGTAACGACACAAGTATTCATGTATGAATATACCACCATATAAAAGCTTTTTTTAAACTTTTGTTGTCTTAGAATGCTGTATTATTGCTTAACTATAAAATTTATAAGAGAGGCATAACTCTTGTCTTGCTGATTATTATCTCAGATCGTGACAAAAAATAATAGCAAATAACCGGGAGCCGTCCCGCGGCGACCTCCCAGCATCAAATCGGGACATTGTTAGCTCACACTAACGTCAAAGAGTTTGATCGTTTCTACGAGATAGATCAAACAGATAAATAAGTTCTCACCTCCCCGTGGTCGCGGTATCGTGAAAGGGTTCGCCGAATAATTGCAACAATCAATACGAAGGAGTTATCGAACAATTTGTATGGTATTTGTGCGGGCTGTCTCCCGCTGATGCTATCGAAGCGCCTCGGGGTGCCGGTCCACTGTAATGGGAATACTTTGCAAGGGTTACTTTCTCACACTTCAAGGGTTTGATTATGCAATTAATTGCAATTAATTTTAAAATTAAAAACACTTTCGACATGTTCAGAAATCTATTGTATTAATTAATATTAGGTATATTTTCTAAAACTATTTTCCCTTGCAAAATCATTAATTAATAATTATACATATGTATGTTTATATAAGATGGAATTAGGTATTTTTCATACATTAATAATTATATTATCAAACAAGTCGTAGAAGTTTACTTATAAATCATACAAATTACCGAGAAATGATGAAACAAAGCCATAATTTAAATGTTTACTCATAATAAGACATAAACATCACCTCGTTGCAATATATCACGTATAACAAAGCGCTGCAGTAACGGTCCTCATCATTTGTCTACCGTAACCCTGTTATTTATGATCTCCTGCCGAAGAAGAAGGACAAAAACGTGGCTGCTGTTAAATATTTGCCTGAGACAAGAGGGGGCGATAATTCGAGGCTATTATGACGTCATTTCACGCCCTTTGTGCGGTCGTCACGCCGTGTCATCTGCTCCTTGAGACGCCTGCCTCTACTATCTCTCGATTATATCTATTGTGTCATTTTTTTAGTGCACGCGAGTCGGATGCGCCACCGACGTCGTCGATGAATTTGTCTCGTTCGCATCTTCGCTCGACTTCACTGTAAAAACGCTTGAGGAGCTGCCCTATTGTCTCGTGGCCCTTTTACGAGCTCTGTTTTGTGACGCTGTTATTGTTTGCGGTCGATAAACATCTCGCCACTAGGTAGGTAGGGATCATTAATACTTTTGCCGGTGGTTCATTTTAATAGAACTTTATCCGATTTGTTTGTCAATTATATTGTTTTGAAAGGTTGGGTAAGATATCAAATAGAGTTTTTCAGAATGGACTTAATGAATAATGATTCATTGAAATTTGGAATAGAAATGACGTCTTACTCGATGTCTTCTTTTACACAAGATCCAAAGCTGGCTGCCGCTATACAAAAACTGTACCATCAACAACAACGGTTAGGACTTTATCTGGAATTGCCAGAACGCAAATTGGAGTTTAGTGAAGTTCATAGCCTTTTAATACAATCTACAACAAAGAATGGTAAGATTATTTCTCGTAATGATAATTTTATATTTTATATATTTCTTTATTATCAAGACTTTACTATATTGTAATTGTTGTAAATATACACAGTTTGGGTTATTTTGTTATTAAATTAATTGTACCTATTAAATTCTGATTAAAAATATTGAATGGTCTAGGATAAATACTTGTTATATGTGCGCTCGTTGGCTCGTTTTCACGCTCATTAATTTTTTTGTACGTTGATGGTAAATTATGAAAAACTTTCGTTATTCGTGCCGATAATAACTCTTAAGTTTCTTACCTAGATTCTTCTCATCTTAATTTAATAAATTATGCATGAACACATAGAAGACGACCACATAATAACATGATATAAAAGTTAAGTTTACTAGCTTTATGTAAAATTTTAGCTAATTATAAAGAGTTATTGTCAAAATCAATCAGTGAAGACAGAGCACTTCTTATCAAAAGGATAGAAAAGATTTTGGAGGATGTGAACAACACTGCTGCTAGTGGACACTCACCAAAACTAAGTATAAGAAATCAAAGGCTATGGACCAATTGTATTTATGATTTGAACCGGTAAATATAAAGAATATTTACTAATTAAAATTATTATTCTCGTATAAGTAAGAGCTTAATTATATCAAAGAATTACTTATTATTACATTTTTTTTTCTAATAAAATATATTCTTTTTAACTTTTTATTACTATTTTATTAATATTATTATTTATTACTATTTTATATACTATTTTATTTATTATTATTATATTCTTAGCTACTCATTAATTTTCAAGGCTATTTTATTTAAAGCGTTTACAAAATATTAGTTATAATTCTTTGAAAAAAATATTGCTTAAAGAAAGATAAGATATAATATTTTATGAAGGTACAATTAAAAGTTATACCTATTAATAGTAAGAAAAAACTTCGTCACAATTCCATATAAAAACACGATTTTAATTGCTTGATTGTAATTTGTAGTTTAAACGTCATAGGTATGATTTTTATATCGAACATGTTTTATTGGTCGTAGAAGTGCTATTTATTTCTTTCTGATAAAAATCCTGCTACTGCTATTGGCAATTGCTACCAATATGAAAAAAATATCATTAGTACCTAGATAATATTATAATAATCTATTATAATCTTTAATTATTAAACTAATTTATTAAAATATTAATTTATATAATATCTGTTTAATTAATTCCAGTGTTACACTGAAAAGTCTAAATGAGGCCAAAAAAACAGTATTAAACTATTCAAGTAAAGAGGATAAATCGCGTTTTAATACAATCATATTTGTTTTGACAAAAGCACATGAACTACTAACAAAAAAACTAACTATAACCAGAAGGTGAGTATACATACATATATCATTTATTTTATTTACATCTCTTCTATTTTACTTACAAAGTAGAATAGAAGAGATGTGACTTTTAAAATTAAATTAATTAACTTAGCGTTTAATTTTAAAAGCAAAGAATTTCATATAATATTATTGTGCTTTACAAATATACTATAGACTCACCCTCGCTCCGCTCGGGTTCGTCCCTGCTTACGTTTTAACGTTTAGTATTGATTTCATAGAGATGAGATATTTTCCCGCAGTAAAAAGTATCCTATATGTTGACCAGCTATCACCTTATCAAATTTCAACAAAGTTCCTCCAGTGGTTTTTCCGTGATGCGGTCACAGACAGACAGACAGACAGACAGACAGACTGACTGACAGACAACCAGGCAAATATTCTAAAAACTATAGATTCCGCTTTTGTATCGATAATAATGTCCATTTCAATAAGATTTCCAAAAAAATATTTAATGTACAGATTCTACTCAGAATTTTATTATATGTATAGATTTTAAAGCACAAGAATAAAAACTAACGTTTTAGAGCTTACACGATCTTGGACTCAAAGAAGTAATAAACTAATAAAAACCCCTAATACATACATAGTATCTAGTAGATTTAGAAGATATATGAGAAAATATAGTAGATATATTAACTTAGATATTGTATTGTTATGAGCTACCTACTATCAATATCCAAATATTCTTTGATATTATACCTAATAATAATATACTTTTTCAATATTTTGTTCCTACTATACTTCAGATGGCTTTGTCTCTTAAGCCATTATGAATTAATTAAATTCATAATGGCTTATAGAACCTAAGGCTGATTTTACAGGGAACTATTTTATCAGAATGTGTCTCGATTTGGAAGTCAATCGAAACTGGATGTGGGGGTGAGAGATGCGTGTTGCTTATTAGAAACTCCCCCTTGGAATCTTGGCATTGTGGCTACAGCTAAAGGTCTTATTGCAGGACCATTAATATTGTACAATGTAGATGGAACCACAGTCGACTGTATGATGTCGGGAGGTATAAATATATATGTACAAGCAAAATAAAAAGTATATTGTTAAATAACCTCAGTAGATAATGTCTATAGATGTACAAAATTCTTGTGTTGCGTTGTATTCAACCCTTTATTTACGTCCCACTGCTGGGCACGGGCCTCCCAATACGAGGGGATCAGACAATAGTCTACCACGCTGGCCAAGTGCGGGTTGGCGGACTTCACTTGTCTTTCGAAAACTTGCTAGGTTCTCTTAGACATGCAGGTTTCCTCACGATGTTTTCCTTCACCGAAAGACAAGTGGTAATCATGTTGGAAATGATTCGCACATGAAAATATCAGAGATGCGAGACCCAAGATTTGAACCCGCATCAGTCGGTTTCCCAAGCGAGCGCTACTACCTCTGGGCTACCACTACCTACCACTGGGCTACCATTGTCTGTTGCAGTAGTAGCCACTGTTGCGTTAAGATTAGATAAATTAACACAAATAATATAATAAATTGGCCAATTCATTACGTGAAAAAAGTTGAATTTCTCTATCATGTGTTTAGACGGATTCATTCAAATATTAATGATAAATGTTTATATCGAATTTACAAATATTTAATATAGTAACGATACTGTATGTCCAATATCTGCATATTTTCTGTCTTTTAAGTTTAACTTTAAGTAGTGATATAAAATTATTAGAAAACTCTTCAATGATATCCATATGTGTTTTTACTAAACATAGGTCTCCAACTTTTTCTTTAAGGTCTAAAATTTCTGTGGAAGTTGTGAGATCTATTGATAAACACAAGTTGGTTTTCTTTTTAGCTATTATAATGAATAGTTGTCTTGCAATAGCATTTTTAGCTAATTCAGCACTTTTTTCGTAAGGAATTAATATGCTTTCTGTGCCTAGTGCTGAAATATGATAAAAAATATTTACATATATAAGTAAAGTGACATTGTTTGTATGTAGTTTTAATTTTTCAGTTTTAATCGTTCAATAATTCGTTCCGTAAAGTTTCCTCGTGTATTATCTTTGAATTAAGGAATACAGTTTAAAGAGCTTACAAAATACTTTACATAATATAATGAGTTTATCTAAAATATCGAAAATGTGTAACAAAACTTGTTTAGATGGTTTATTTTTTTTGTGGTAGGTACGTTGGTACCTCAAGATATTAATGGTATAAAGGAATTTAAGTCACCAGCTAAATATATACTATTAATAGAAAAAGATGCCGTATTTCAAAAGTTGCTCGATGAAGGAGCATTGGTTCGATTGGGACCTGTTATTATTTTAACGGTAAATAATATTTAGATATATAATTAGTTATACGCACCTTAAATACATATATAGTACTAGCAAGGCCCGCGGTTCGGCCCGCGTTCAGATGACCAAAAACCAAATTCGTAGGTTTTACATATTACTATAAGTACTCATACATTGCAGTTTTTGTATTTTTTCTCAAAAATAAGATATTTTCCCGCTGTAAAAAGAATCCTATATGTTGACCCGGATAACCAGCCATCTCTATACCTACCAAATTTCATCAAAACCCCTCGAGTGGTTTCCTGTGATGCGGTAACAGACAGACTGACAGACAGACAAAAATTCTAAAAACTATAGATTCAGCCTCTGTATCGATAATAATATTTATATCAATAGGTAAGACTTTCCAAAAAATATTTAATGTACAGATTCGGCTTAGTTACAATTTTATAATATGTATAGATATACATATATATTTTTTATTATTATAACCTTTAAAGTGGATGAACGTTTAATAGCTCTTGTTTGAACCAGTTATATATTTTGTAACTTGCGAAATTATAATTAAAATAATGATTGATATAATATGAAGAAGAATTAGAATAAAATACATTTAACTGACTTTATGGACATTTATAGAATCGAGTCTACATACATTGAAGTGTTATTTTTTAACTAATATAAATAAGATTCGACTTGCATTGTTTTCCTTCTATAGTAGGTAGTTTATAAAATTTCTGGCTTATGATTGGTAAAATCACTTTTTAGTCTGTAGATAATGCTGATTTGAGTACAATTTTTCTTATAACTACATCGAACTACTTTAGAAAAGTATTAAAGTACATATAATCCCTAAGTATCATAATAAATGCTTAGTCGATATTGATATTGTTTTAAATCAATTCAGGGTAAAGGTTACCCCGATGTATGTACAAGACAATTACTTTGCCGTTTAGTGAAGGAATTGCGATTAAAAGCTCTTGCGCTTGTGGACTGTGACCCACATGGATATGAGATCTTCTTCACATATAAGTATGGTTCACTGGTAAGTTTGTAAATTATTTAAGTCAGTGTAACATTTTAATTTTTGAACGGTTGAGTTATACCTGTAATGTGGGCGTTAGGAGAGGGGTGCAAGGGGGTGCACTAGCACTCCCCTACCATGAAGGAAAATATATAGAAAGAGTAAAAGGAATAAAATTAGGTATATGAGTAAAATACTCGTTTAAATTTAGATATCTTCAAAGAACAGATGATAAATAAGATATAAACAAAAATTATAAAGTTTATCATTTAGTTAGTAGTTTAATGGAGCAGATGAGTATGTGTTTTAACATAAACTTTAATTAGATAGGAAGATTTTTTTATTGAGTTTACAAAAATATACGTAGGTATCTAAAAAACCCAACGAAATTACAGGCTCAATCGCATTTATCCGATTCACTCGCATGCAGTAGTCTGTTACTACTGGGAGCTTTGCACAGTGATATAATCACTTTGGCTCCTAAAGCAGCTCGTTTGTCTCTCACTGCGCTTGACAGACGTAAACTCGAAGCACTGATTAAAAGACCGTATTTAGACAATCCTGCAGGTAGTTTTTATTATTTATGTAACATTTTAAAAATAAATCGCATGAGTTTGGGTGGAGGAGGTAAATTGTGTAACAGAGTTTCGGAATCGATTGAATAATCGATTCCGTAAACTCTTTAACAAATCGAAATGAATTACTTAAATTTCAAGGTTTCAGGCTCAATACAGGGAATATACCAATAAATAGATTATGTAAAAAACGCAATTTTAAAATACAACTAGGTACATATCTTTTAGGATTTATTCGCGGATTTATTTTAATTTTTGGTTCCTGACGTTTCGAATGCTTTACAGCAATCATGGTCACGAGAGAGACTTAGGTTTTAGACGTCTCAAACACATATACCTACTTGTTATAGACAGTGCCTACCTACAATTGCTGATAGCAATGATTTCTATTTCTATTTGTCATTTCTATTTGTTAAAGAGTTTTTGGAAACGTTTCAAACAAGTTACCAATAGTAAAAGAGGTTTCTCTTTGAACCCATAATTTAATTTCCCAAAGGAACTATGGAATACAGTGTTCCAATACGCAATACAACATTGTCATATAGTTTTTACTTATCTTTTCATCTTAACTTTTTATTGTAGGTATTTCATTAACTTATGTCTTTTAATTAACATTATTAATGACTATGAAAAAGGTCATGATGATTATATAACTTGGATCGCGCTTAAAGTACAAAGTTTATATTTAACATTTGAATTTTGAATCATAATTATATATATTTTTACCTATTTATAATGTTATCTAATAATTTATATAAGGAACTCAGCTGAAAAAAGAACTACAAGAAATGTTGGTAAGCGGCGAGAAGGCAGAGATTGAAGCCGTAGCACCCACTGCGTCGGCTCTTTGCGATTTTTATTTACCTTCCAAAATAATACAAGCTAATTTTTTAGGTTGAAATATATAAAATAAATAAATTAAATTAATTAATATTGGTGTTTTGTTTTGTTTAATATACCTTACTAATTCACAAAAGCCTGAAAAGATAATTCTAGAATAGTATAGTATTGTCTGTGGCCTTAGTACGGGGTTTCATTACGAAATAGTTTATGTAATTGTCAATAGATGGCGCTTAAAATAAAAACATGTTTTGTTTTGAAATAAAAAAAAAGAAAAAATTTAATACAAAAAATATAAAACAAAAAATAGTTCTCTTATAGCTTTTAAAAATATTCTTAAATCAAATTGATATTTAGTAATAGTAGCAGTTTTTATTTTGAATGCACATATCTGTAATAACATACCTACAAAGAAAATAGCAATATGCTGACAAAGTTCGGATATTTACATTGGTTTGGTTAGGGCAAAGTAAATCAAAAGACGACACTTATGCGGCCGTACTGTTCGTTTCTAGTTTTAATTCTAATTTAAAAATAAATTGCGGAAAATATATATTAGTCATGCTTAATTTTTTTAATTATATCACACAACTTTGGTATTAGGTACTGTTATGCAATAAACTTTTTCAATATTAACGGTTAGTACGGAATAGATAGACTATAATATATTATATAGGCCTATAGCCTTCCGCACTAAACGGGCTATCTAATGCAAAAAAAAAACAAATCGGATTAGTAGTTCCTGAGATTAGCGCGTTCAAACAAACAGAGAAACTCAGCTTTTTTATAATATTAGTATAGATTAAATATCTTCTGAAATATACAACTACAGACACCTAGTGGTAAAATTTGCAACTAAAAGTAGAGCGCAACGCCATCTAGAGACAAGTTTTTATACATATTGTGATAGGGAATTTAGTAAGGAACACTCTTTCATAAAATTACCAAATAGTTTACCTAACATCGTACAGATGGCGCTATAAGCGCATTTTATATTCTAATTTTCTCGCAAATAAAAACTATATGCAAATAAAATATTTGTACATTATATTGTTAACTGTTATATTAATTATATAGCTTCATCATTATTAACTTTAAAAAACGTATACATTATGTATAGAGTAAATAGAACCGGATTTAAGAGATATTTTTAATTTTCTAATAACGTCACTCTTCGTTATTAAAAAATAAATAAAAATATCTTTAAAAAGATAATAAATCTAATCTACTGCAATATAAATAAGTTTGTATTATATTTTAAGTAAATACCTAAAACTTTTAATCTCATAAACTCATTTAAGATAAAATTCAATACATATGAAGCAAACAGTGCATGTAAGCTGTGTTAGACAATAAAAGTAATTTTGATTGAACTAATCCAACGAAATATTCTAAGGGTCATTTTTCATGTTAATTCCACGAGTAGAGCTGTAAACTATATACCTAATACTAGCAGAACCCACGGCTTCGCTCGCGTTTAAACTACAAAAAACACTCTAGATAGCTAGGTTTCATACATATTTTCATCCTATATATAAATATCCCCTTATGGTATAAATTTCGAAAAGACGTATTTAGCTCCAGCTCCAGCCATCTAACTATCTCCACACAAAAATTCATACCAGACCGTCACTCCCTTTCGACGTGAAAGAAGGACAAACAAACAAACAGACAAACAAACAAACAAACAAACACACTTTCACATTTATAATATTAAGTATGGATTGTATGACATATGTATGTACCTACATAATACTGGCCTTTTCCAATTATTTTATGTCAGTCAACATGACTTAGTTTGACGTTTTTTATATTTTAAACAACTCTACATGTTTCAAAATTACTGAGTCACTATGGAAAATAATTCTGCATCAAATAGCGACAAGATGTCCGTAAATAAAGCGAAATCTTATTCAAGTGATCCACCTAAGAAACTCAAAAGCGAGCCAGTGAAGCGAAAATCGTTTAATGTGAATGAGGCATTTAGATCCTTAGATCTGGCATTAGGGCGGCTAAAGAAAAGTAAGCTTGTAAATGGGGAATATGGAGCGTGCTCCGAACTCAAGGATACTTTTGACCGCGATGATAACTCAAATATGTTTATTGACAGTAACACAAGCCCAAGTTTAAGATTATTAGATGTTGATAATGCTTCCGCAATGTCTATGAATTTTTCTCATTATGAACTAATGCGAAATCTATCATCTTCGAACTGTAATTCAGATGGACAACTCAGTAGTACTACATGTACGGGGTTCTCTAGTCTCTCAGATATTGCTTCCCGAAATGAACATCTAGAAAGGTATTTCAGAAGTGTTGAAATGTGGGGACGAAATAGTAGAGTGGGAAAGAGTGACTTTAAACCTTAACTTACAAATAGCTTAAAAGGTAACGAAATAAAATAAACTCGATAACGATTATGAAAATTTTATTTATTCAAAGAAACATTACATTAATAACAGAATAATCTCAGAATTTACAAATAAACATACGGATCTATACAACACTGTAACTCTTAAACGAGACGATAAGTTTTATAACACTGATTAACAACAACGTAGAATATAAATTTTCTCTAGGGCCATCAAACGGCGCGTTACTGAAGACAATAATTTATAAGAATGCCCTGTATTTTGTAACAAAGACTAGCTAACCTAATGGCAACAGGTTTAGGTTAAGGATATAAAGAGGCGTAGAGCTATAGCTAGTGTAGGTCAGAGTAGGCTTTTAAGAGCGCAGGGGAAAGAAGTCATTATTGTGTTCAACATCGCGCTTACCATCGATCTAATTTGCTAAGGAGCAACCCGCGACACACTACAGATACGAAGGCGGACACTACGCTGCAACTAACCCACACTTGAGGATATTCAATCATTCAAATCATTCAACAAAGCAAATTGTAATGTTTTAATAAAATTCTTTAAAATTCTACGTATTATTATATTTATAACTCAAATACAACGTAAAGGTACAAATGAATAGGCATTTGAAAGTTAAACACGTCAAATATCAAATTGTACCTCGAGTGTAGCGTAGTTGCAGAAGAACTCTAAAGACACAGCGGTACTGTTCAACATTTATACCACATCCATTGAACCTGAGGAAACTAGGGTATCTAAACTAAGTTACAACAGATAACTATAACAAAATTAATTAGACATAGCCGTCCTGAGTTGAGATAAGGAAATAATTGACATAGTCATCACATAGTTCCTACTTTCTTGCCCCAAGAGTATTATCTATGGTATTGGAAGCTTTCGCTACACTGGAAGACTAAAGGGCTAATAATTACGAAATGAAGGGAAAATTGAGAGAAGCAGCGTGCAAATAATAATTGAGTGGATCAAATTTAGTGCCGATATCAAATAACAACCTGTCACATTACTTGATATTATATCTATACGTATTAAATTGGTGTTACTTGCTGAAACTCTCATTATAACGTGAATTCTTTCGACGAATTCTGTTCTAACATTTAAAGTTTAAGACTCGCAGAGGACAGGCGATGTCCTGCGTGCGAGACTTAAGCTAAATATTAAGGTACTTATTGTGCCTGTATTATAGCAGGTCATACAATGTACCTATTTACTTTTGTATAACTATAGAATTTTCGCTAAAGAAATCAATTTAACATGATGTACAATTTAAAGCACCCGGTTTCCGAACTCTCTCATCTTATAATAACTATACATATGATTGTGATGTATATATAGCCCATATTATATTGTCTAGATTTGTTATTTGGAGAAAAGCAATAATAAATAGTTTATATTTTACTCATGGAAGAATTTCAAAAGTTCTAAATTAATGTTAACCTTAGAAATACGTTTTAATAATTACAACGAATTCGATTTGACTAGGCCCTACGTATATCAGATGCAGATATAATACTCATTCAATATATTTAATACAATATCGATAAAATTTTGCAATAGAAGAATCACAGCATCCTTAAGACCATAACGGCGATTGAAATTAATGTCATCGACATATCGTAGGTATTTTAATTATAAAATTTAGACCAAATTGGCAGTCTTCACAAACATGGAATGTACGATATGCGTCTATGCAGGTATCCGATAACACTTAATAAATATCCGTTGACAAATATACCTATACAACAACGAATTACCTACTTACGTTTCAATTGAGGGAACAACAATTCTATCGTCCTTTACGAGTATACGCTAGCCATCTGCGCTTTGCATTCGGCGTTTCATTCCATTTTCCATATATTATATAATGAATAACTCTAAACATCGATGATGTTTCAAAAAATTGGCAAAATAAATACTTCTATTGACTTCAGTTCTCTTATTCACAACATCATAAATTGATATCTAACTGTCGATTTTTGCTTCTCTACAAATTTCTATTAATAATATTAATTATTATTACTTATTAAAATATTCCGACTTTAAACCCGCTCTTTGACTGCCTGCAACATACATATATTAGTGACACATTTATCAGAAAGGCGAATTCTAGCTCCTTTAATCTACTTTGTACACGATTATTCTTATTTTAATGTTTATTTTATTTATTTTTGAGGCCTTCAGCGAGATAAAAGGTACGAGAATCGTTAAAAATTTTGAAATCGTATATTATAATTATGAATTATTTGGATTATGTAAATGAGTAAAGATTTTCTGGTCTGTTTTTTTCGTCTAAAACCTTTGAAATATTTTTTTGTGTACCTTGTGATTAAAAATAATTATAAACAAATACTATTAATGTTTAAATTAACCAGACGATTATATTAGTACTATATGGTCGAAACAGATTAGGTGGTAATATAAATATTCAAGAGATTTACGTATTTAAATAGACTGTATATATTAATGGAGCAAAAGCAGCTGAGGAATAGAGCATGATCAAGGTCACTTCATTTCTAAATATTACAATTAATTACAAATATTCACTGTGTCGGTCATATCATTCCTAAAGACATATTATAGCTCATACATGCACGAGGTATTTTCAACAGCTTTTATAACATTTTAAAACGTAACAATAAAAATCTGTAACTAATATTAGAAAAAAATACTATTTTGTAAAGGCCTAATAGAGATTCCCTAAATGATAAGCTCCTCGTTAATTTTTATGTAAATTATGTTATATTATATGAAATTTATCTATAGGAAAAGATACAAAAGTTTTCTTTAACAAATAAAGTAGATATTATAAATATGAAATAGGTTAGTTAATATGTATCATATAACATTAATATGGTAACAGTGGTACATTGGACTTACAAAGATGGAAGTAGAAAGGGTTACAGTAAAGCCTAGGGGATAAAGCTCGAATCGCTATGAATAAATATAATCACAATATATAGGTATGTATGTATGTATGTACTTCATGTCAACATAAGAATTTACAAAGTACATAATAAGACGCATCGATTGTAAGTTTCAGCTTTTAAATTTCGTTATAATGCTATTAGAAATAGTTTAATTTTGATTTTAAGATTAAGAATCCTATCTAGTCTTAAGTGACATTTAGTAAGATAAAAAGGCGAATGTTGCTTAAGCGATGTCCAATGGACAGTACTAGAAAGACACCGATATGAAAATTAATTAAAAATGTTTAGCCAATTTACATTTTCTGACTTAAAACTACGAAGGAAGAACTTTCCACCATTTTGTCTGAATAAATGTTGATGTTAATTACCATAAAATCGACGTGTTGAAATCTTATAATTATTTTATAACTATTAAAACATAATATCATTCTTAGCATCCCTTATGAGGCATAAATTAAACTTATCAGGGAACACAATTTAAAGCACTATTTAATTTACATATTTACATAATAATAACAACTATACAATATTGATGATAATATTTTAAAATTATGTGATATCGTGAAACAAATCAAGACGTAACAAGAGTGATCATTTTATCTATCTGGCGGAGGCAGCTTGGTGTCTTCAGGGTCAAGAGAGAGGCACTCTCGGAGATAATCTTCCATAGATCGGTATACGTGCTCAATAACGCCTTTCAAATCGTGGCCTTCATCAGCATATGCCTAGAAACAAAAATAAAAGTCATCAATTTTAATAATTAAAATATATGTAAGTCATAGTCTAACCTAATAAGTTTATATGCTAAATTTCAGCTTCAAAATTTTTAATTATTTTTTTATGCATTTAAAACGTGTCAGTACATTATATTAGTTATCTAGTTTTTTTTTGTCACGTATTTTATTCATATCTACATATATACAACGTTTTTCATGTACAATTGGCATTATTATGTCTATAAAGCAGTGGTTGGCAACGCTACCTTTATCTAAACCATATTATAAAATTTCAATAAATACGTAAAATAAATGAATTTTGAAATACATATCCCGCGGAAATCGAAGTTGTAACCTCCAGAATGGTGACAGTTAGTTCATAGCAATATTTCACAAAAGTACCTACTACACGGTAGAGGTTGTGAGTTTGGTATTTTGAAGAAATTTAGAGTGAGTGGTCTGATACAAAAAAAATGCTTGGCTTATAGGAAGTTATGTGCTATGCTAAGAGGTGTATATAGATTTTTTATCACGTCATATCAAAAGGAATTAGTATCCTGTAGGATTATATTATCATATTGCAAAAAGGTACTCATACTACACTGAGCGGGGTGTAGAAAATGCTGAGTAAAACACGAACAGGTTGCTTGTTTATCATAGTATATTAGTAGTTTAATTTAGAATTTAATTAGATAAACGTATACCTGATATCGAAAGAGTACTCCAGCATCAGTCAGAGCACGAGCTAATTGTAGAGCATGCGGATAGGGTGCACTCATATCCGCCATACCGTGGATTAGATACAGCGCGTGTCTTGGAACGTGGTGTGCTCTCTGTGAAGCATCGGCTTCTACGTAACCCTTATAATTAACAGATGGCTGGCCTAAAATACGCTCCGTGAACGCCACATCTAGAATTTTCACACAAATGAGTTAGAAATATAACGTTTTGACGGAGACTGCATGAACAAAATAATTATTAAGTAGATTTTAAATAAACTTACTGTAATATAACCAGTCTGTTATAGGCGACACGGCTATACCGCATTTTAGAGTTGATTGCTGTGAACCTAATAACATTGCTGTCACGTAACCACCATATCCCCATCCCCAAACAGCTACACGTGTTACATCCAAAAATTTAAATGTGTCTAATAAATATCTGGAACAAAGAATATTTAATAATATTTTTATTGCTTATAATTTGTTTTTTTTTTAACTTAAGTAATATTTTAAAATATCTACCTAATAACAGCCAATTGATCAGCCACCTCGACACCTCCAAGGCGGCCGCGTAGCATTGCTCGAGGCAGACCCCGAGCACCTGCTACGTCTAATTTTACGTAAACTACGTCGTTACGTGAGGACATATAAGTTCCCCAGTCTACTAAGAACTCGTCTGTTACTTGCTGACTTCCGGGTCGTCCATCCCTGGTAATAAATTCAAGTGTTATTTTCCGTTTATAGCAAAATTTATCGGTCAGTTAAGTTTATGTATATTAAATACTGAAATTCTTACACATGAACGAGAACAGGAAAAGCAGCATCACGGAGTTCCTCCCGCCAAGAAGGCGGTAGTAGGAGTTGGACTCGAGCTTTTGAGCCACTGCTTAATTGAACATCAAATGATCTTCGAGAAGGCAATGCCAACTCACGTAATCGAACTGATCTATAAATAATAATACCTCATAAAGAACTATATTTGACATGAATACGTTAGGTATAATTGTTAATATACAATTATAGCACTTATAATTTACCTATAAGGCCTCGTATCGTATAAAATTCTCTCTAACTTATGAGTCCTGGCATCGTGAAGTCCAGCAAGTGGTGGACCAGGGCCTCCACACTCCAGGACGTAATGTGTTATTCCCAGCTTAGGCTTAGCTGGGGAGAAAGTAGCACTCCAGAAAGTGCAATTTGCATAATGTAAACGAGCCGGCCAAACTGCCAGTTCACAAGTAAGGCAACGCGGTTCTTCCCGTTCCGCACGTGCCCTCACGGAGTTGCTTCCACCACCGTAGCTAGGGTCACGGACCACATACACATGTCTTTGGCCCGGTCGGTCTGCACTACCTATAAGAAAATTAATGTATTTAAAATCACCGTTCTTGACGGAACAACACTCAAACCAAAGTCGACAAATTTTGGCAGCTTGCACAACTCCAACACATTTCTAATACACAATGTAAAATAATATGCTTTTGAAAATAAAAGACAATGAGCTAAGCAAACAAGGTTAACTAAATGACATCAGGTTAGTAACGGAGGCAACTGCGCTATTCAACAAACACCACTCAGCTGCAATGAATTCTTATACTTAATTCGATTAGCTTCGGTGGCCATATCAGGTTGCTGTTTATGTGAGTGAAACTTTGCGTAGTCAAAACCTTCAATAAAAGAAAAACGAATATATGAATCTACAAAAATAAAAGTAATTTACTAAGTTATGACTTTCAGTTTCTTACCTAAATAATACACTAAATGATTCTCCTGGTCCCACGCCAGGATTTTCGCTACCTCCACTTTACCGTGTGATAAAACGGCTATACGTTGACGCAAAACATCGACATGTTTTATATGAGTGTAGTATTGCCCCCCGCCTTCTTGTACTGCAGCTAGAAGAAGAAATGCACTACCATCTTCTGAATACACGGGCCGTTCATGGACTTCGAGCCACGGTTCTTCAGTAGCTTTTTCAGAATGCGTCTGTAAGTTATAATTAAGCCAGTTAAGATGTTTATGCGATAAGAATACCAATATTTGGGAATATAAATTGGATGTCACGATGTTAGCAAATATCATACCTCAGTACAAGTCCAGTTTGGTGCATAGCAACTGCTATATACAGTATAGTTTTGCGCTCGATTCATCCAAACTACTCCTATATGAGAATTTTCTTTGCCCACCCATTGGGCTGATATGAGATAATATTCCCTAGAATTCAATTACAAATATGTTAAAATCAATAACAAACATGTAATATTTTATAAAAATAGGGACGTCTTGATTAAAATTACATTATAAAATATTTCAATTTTAAAGTAGATAACAAAAAAAAAAGAAATTATCGGTTTTCTTACATTCCATCTAAAGTGCTAGGAGGCTTAACTTCCCATCTTGGGGGTGACGTTACATTTTGAACTGCTACTATCCACAATCTCACTTGAGGTATAGAGCTTCCAGGCTGAAAAATGTTATATAACGCTCAAATAGGATAAAAAGTTACGTATGAATTTGTGTTAGTAAATTACATCTGTATGTGTTATAGTTGTATTTAAGCCATTAAATATTTAAATTTTTGTATTAGATTAATATTTTAAATAAACACATCAAGAGATGACACTTTGACAAAAATTATCTGAAATTATAAAATTATTAAAGTGTGAAATGTCCTCACCGTGGGATATCTAATAGTAACATGATCAGGGAAAACCGATGGAATGCTGCTGTTTAAAGTTGGAAGTAGGAAGCCCGACCTGCTGGCACCCACACCGCCTATTCCTTCGGATATGTGTGGGAACCTTAGTTCAGACACTTTACTATCGTCATACTGAACATACATTACGAATGAGCCATCTGGTGATCCCCAAGTCGCTGAAGATGTTTTTGTCACCTCCTCTGTTTTTAAATAAATATTTATATTACAAATAATTTATACATAATTTTAACAGTGTTAATAAACTTAGGTTTTGAACAAAATAATAAATTATTCAAAATATACTTATAAATTTGTAGTAACCTTGATACAACCAATCCGATACTCCATTATAAATTCGACCAGGACTAGCATCTTTTGTGAGACGAAGTAAAGGAGCCCGTCGAGCCGGTGGGGCCGGTCTGGCGAGGACCTCGTTATCTGCAGCGAGGAGTAATGCGCCTTCTGTGCCGAGCCACGCTGCATGCTGCCATTCCCAACTGCTCTGACCTTCACCGAATAGGGGGATGTGGTGGCTAAGAAGGAAAGTTTATATTATGTTCAGATTAATCTTATGAATACAATAAAGACCTAGTGCCCAGAACCATTCATGACGATAACACAAGATCTGCTAATAATATACAATTTTAATAATAATATTCTAAAATTAATGTCTTGAAAATTATGAATAAGTAAAAAATACGAAGTTCTAAAATTCCAGTGACAAAAGAAACATTTATTTTTGTTACTAAAAGGAATATAAATATTTCAGCCGTAAAGATCTTTGCCGTGGACTCTGACAAACTATAAATCCAGACTGTAAGATACGGCAGACATCTTTTCAAACTTAGCTTACATTTGACAAATGTGCATCGACTTTGTTTCTGATTTCTAAGTATAGTAAATGACAGAAATCTTTCTCGTATAAGGAATTTTCGCATTTCTGGATTCAAACAAAGGATTGTTTAAGAAAACCCCCAGGCATCATTAAAAATCCTCTCGTAGCATGTAAACGCCGTAATGGAGATGAGATTTCCGTTCATATGTAATTTTGTGAGGACTTTCAAAGAGTTGAAGCTAAAATATTACTGTAGCGTAATTTAGATTTATATGTCAAGATAATTTATATGCTAACCAAATAAAAGTTATAGTGATATTACATTTAAATAGCATTAGATTTTTATACTAACAAATATATTTTTAATAACATTTACTACCAAACACTTGGCGATTAAAATTTGCAATCATTTATGGAGCGGAATGGGCTTCAGACAACCATTGAAATAAAAGCCCCTTCAATTTTCGCCTCGGAGCGCCGACCGCACCCTTTTTGTGCGGTTTTATATATGTAGCTGTAATATTATCGTTGTGAATCGAGGGTACCTTAATAGAATTTAAGCTTTACATTACTTTTCTAACATCAAGACAGCGTACAATAAACATAGAGATACTGACACTTAAAAGCGTTTGAGAAGCATTAAAAAGCTTTCGTAAGCTTTAAAGACTGTAGAATAAAAAACATCAATTACAACTTTAAACAAATAGCATCTTACTCATTTGTGACGTCATAAACGGTGTAATGTGCTGTAAAGGTCCGCCGATAAACCTGTTAAAGAAAATTATTTATTTGTAATGTGTGTGAATGTCTTTGCATATTTTTAATGAGTAATTTTCTATGTGTACCTCTTTGATATTGTGTTGGAACAGCACAAAGCGCAGGTTTGGGGAGCACTGGTATCCGCGTACATTGAGCTGCCTCTGTTCAAATTCAAATTATTAAAAATAGCACAACAATTGTAATTTGGATAGTTATCAATATACGTAATTATATACACAAAACAAATGTACACTTAGTTATTACTGTACAAATCATGTCCGCGTGGAATAGTGGCAAGAATGCTAGCCGCATTCCCCCGTTGAATGGCAATGCCGATTCTTTGGGCGAAAAATGCGCTAGCCCTCCTGTCACCAGTAGAGGTAATAAGACGGGGTGTTATGTCTTTTAAGAAGAGCTTAGCACTTTGACTCCATGGGCCAAGGGTTTCTACAGCAAATGGAATAAAAACATAATTTTGACTAAGGGAGGTGTATTTACGCAACTTAAGTAGTTCAGCCTTTTCCGCCGCAGCTCCCACTTTAGACGCGATCTCCCTGACATGGGACGGGGCCAATGTGTCAACGCATGTAGCGTCCCACAATAGGGCCCGTCCCCTTTCCCAAGGAACCAGCGACAGGCCATCAGGTCTCTTACCATCATCTCGACTTATTCCAGATGGCTCAATGAGAGCAGGAATGTCAATGGTGGCAAGAGCCCTTTTGATGGTATCGTTTAGGGAACCATGACGGAAAAGTCTGCCTGAACTTCTTTTCTTTCTTTTCTTCTTTTTCTTTTTTCTTTTCATAGGATTATTTACTAATACTTATTGTATTAGTAGTTTTGCGAACAGAAGAACTCACGAGCACTGCATTTTGAAGAGCTATCCTACTCATCACGCCGAAGATCCTGACCTGATGAGGATTTTCGGTGTTTTATAAGACCTAATTAAAGTTACTACCTCTCAAAAAAAAAAAGAATAATCGAAATCGAATCTCATTAGGCGAAGATATCCAGTAGCCCCCTTTTTCCCCTTTTTTGCAGGAAGTACTCCTACAATCAAAAATCTCCGACGACAAAAAAATCTATGAACCTCTATATCAAGTTTCTACGCTTCGTTCGCTCCCTCAATAACTATTTAACGAATTCATAAATATTTGAAGAATGAATGAAAAAATCGTACTCAATTTTAATTATGAAACTGCCTGTTGAAAAAACTGTTAACTCTAGTGGTTTTCACTTCATGAAAGTTGAATCAACAGATGCCATTAGTGAAAACGAGTAAGTATTCTTTGTGGTAATAGTGTTGTTCGTAAATGTTTTTCCTGCTCATATATAATTAAAATATTCCTTCCTATAATGAAAGTTTAACATTTGAATTGACATCATTAAAGTTCGCAGAAATTGTCTTCAAAACTTTATTAATTTAATCATTTTCATTAACGACACTTTAATTTATTCTTCTTTGCGTAATAATGATGTTTGGAAGAAGTTAGAATGAGTCTAGATAAGGTAGAATAAATGACTTATCATAACTTTTAAAGAAATTGATTCTATGTCTGAGGTGAAAACTTTTTTGCATTTTCTTATTTCTTTAACATTCATCACACAAACTTTACCTTCATATTTATACTGTGAAATCATATGACGTTTCGAGTTTAAATTTTATTTTTCCGATAATGTTTTTCCAAATTAAATTGAGGTTTCAATTATGTTATAAATGCACCTTTTAATTTTGTGCACATCATTTCTGCTCGTTTTTTTACCTCAAGAGGTTTCATCACTCATTGTATTTGTTATGATAGGAATTTTAGGTGTTACTCAAACTATAATTTGTAGAAAGATTGTGGTAGACAATTTGTGTCCTGAATATAGCTAGCAGCTGGCAGCATAACGGCACTGCGCTGCCGCACGCCGCTTTAACAGGCAATTCAGGTGGGGAAATTGAATTTGCATTGTTTCAAACTCCGGAACTTTGACCGGACTTAGTTTCAAGGAAAATTTACGGGATAATTTTAAGAGCCGCCTTAACCATTTCCACGCTGCATAACATTTTAAACAGAGTTTTCTATCCTTATAGATATGCTACATACATATACTAGCAATATAAAACTTTTTGAAATGTTGCAACACAGTTATTGATATTATGCTCGATATTTTTGGAAAACTTGCTACTTTTCTTGTGAAAACGAAAATCGCCCGGAAAAATTTTCCTTTTCTAGCCTTCAAAGTTTGTGTTAAGCGTAATATTTATAATTTGTTACAATGCAATAATAATATAGCCTTACTACTTACGAGAGTGTGGTTTGTAACAAGCACAGTAAGGCTGTTGTTGAAGGTGTCTAGTGCAAGTAGTCCACCGTCGTCCGCTTGGTAGACAAGCTGGTGGGAGCTGACCCAAGTTGTGGGCAATCTCTCGCCTGTCAGATCGCCGCGTAAGAACTCGTCGAGTCGCATGCGACGTCCTGACCAGTAGAGTAATTCGTCCACATATCTACAAAAAAAAAAAAATCTTTTAGCTCCTTAATAATTATACAGAGTTTAGAAATATCATTATAGTAAACTAATTTATCTCACGACTATTTGTATTCTTTAAATTTCATGTTAATGCGTAGGAACATTCAGATAATATCTATGTATAAATTTATATAAGAGAAAAGACGTAACAGACATGTTAGTTAAACACTATAAACAATGGCTTTTTATCTAATATGGTATCCCAAATTCAGTTACATAAACGGTAATTTCTTTTGGTGTAAAATTGTTTTATATGGTCACCCTTGACATAAAACCTATTCAATAAAAAATAATTGGTAAAATTAGTAAAAAAATACATATCTACGTTTGAATTAACTACCCCTCCCGTTGTGTTAAAGTCGGTCAAAACTTAATTAATGTTCTGATTTTGTAGCTAAGATAGTCTTTGTACTGCTTTGGCAGTACGTTTAGTGTGGGGAATTTCCCCGTGTGAGTTATGTCCGACATAAACCTTTGTAAAGCGTTATTCACATGCGAGCTTGCATGCAGTCCCACTAGTTTTGTTGCTGAAATCAACCACGAACTGTTGGATGGCAAAAGCACCTACAGATATCGGTGAAATCGTACATCGTGCCAACGGAAACCAGCTAACGCCACATAAGCTAAAATCGTGTAATACTGGTCTGCTCTATATGCGCAATGCAGTCATGTTACAAACACTGCAAAGAATTTCCCGATTGACACACAGATATATTGAATCTTCTCTAGACCGACGAACTAGTAGAGTAAATATTAAAAATATTACTTTCATAGTACATACTAAAAGCTCAGCTTTTTTATTTATAAAACAAAAGAACGAACTCGTTTAAATGGAAAACTAGCAAGAACGGTGTTTGATGCTATATCCTTAACTAGGGCTAAAAGTCGTGAACTTCCGGAAAGCTAAAAGTTTTAATGTATCATGTTTAAGTTTCTTTTCTCTTCTATTTGTAGTGCATTTAATAAAGTTTGAACTTTAAAGAGGTACCCACCTCTTTTAAGAGGCAATTATGCTATAAATACAAAAAAGAACTTACCCCAGTAAATAAATGGCTGTAACTATACCAGCTATCACAAAACTGATAACCATCAATGAAAATACGATGCTTCTCCAGTTGTGACCATCTCCTGGGTAAAGATCCTGAAAAGTCATAGAAACATTATTTTAGACTACTATTAAAAATGTAAATGTTTGTATGAGTGTGTGTAGTTTTGTTATTTCATCACGCTGGAACGGCTGGGCGGATTTGGATGTAATTAAGTACACAGATAGACATCATGCATCCTTGGTTTTTATTGGTATTACCTAACCAATAATAACCAAGGATGCATAAGTCAAAAAAAGCTATGCAAAACAACACAAAACTTTAAAGTAATGAGCACATTTTACTAAACGCTAAACACAATTTGAATTTTCAGTGCACCCTTTAGCGAAGAAGCGTGTTACTTCCACAGGTATCAGTGTATGCAAGAAATATTACGCACGTAGTTAATTAGGGAAGTCTGACGTAATCTTGTCTATATATACGTACACGTAGTTATCGTTAAGATGTAAATAATGAATACGTAACATCTATGATGAAAAGAACATCTATGTAACACTTATACATACTTGCTTCTGATAGCAAATATACTTCAAAACGTAAGTGTTAATTTGTATAATCATTTCAAAGTGACTTGTAATCAAATTAAAACTGTCTGTTAAATTACTGTGCATTTTCACATGGTTTTTTATAAAAATTCGCTCTCAGCCGGGGCGGCTGCGGGTAAAACACTTATACCAAGAGCTCGTCACACAAGGACTTATTCGCGAGGGCGGACGTTAAAACAAAAACTTTTCAGCATCATTTTATAACTAATGTTATGGAAAAGCGAAAAGTTCAGTGAAATAATCAGTGGTTAAAATTACGTTGCTTATATTAAGCGAGCACGTGCACTTTTCTAAGCGATATTTCAATAAAGAATCTATCAGAAGTGACCAGCTTTAATTCCTATCCCAGAACTTTAATTCGTAGCAATATCTATTCGTTCGATCCTAAACCGTTAAAATATTGCTTAACATTCGCTCTCCTGAGGAGCTCTACTTGATATAGATCTTATTGTTGTGTAGCTTAGCGCCTAAGGAATAATAAAGTATTCGTGTTTGTTCCAATGCGGACATTTTAATTTAATTCTGTACCAGTTGCCTTTCACATGATAGAGATGTAAACTAATTTGTTTGGGTCACGTACTCGTATACTAACGAATAATTGTTAAAGCTTATTAATGGTTTTAATGCGCTGTGTGTTATAAATGTTTTATATAAATAATATATATATAACTAGCATTGCCCGCGGCTCCGCCCGCGTTCAGATGACGAAAAACCAAATAAAATAGCGCTATTGTAATTTTGTTTCAAGATAAGGTATTTTAAATAGTGTTTGCTTTATTTAGTAAGTTACCTTGCTAAAACATATATAGTATCATCGTGGTTTGATTCTAACCAGTTTTTGTATTTTTTCACAGAAATGAGATATTTTCGCGCGGTAAAAATTATCCTATATGTTGACCCGGATAACCAGCTATCACCATACCAAATTTCATCTAAATCCCTACAGTAGTTTTTCCGTGATGCGATAACAGACAGACAGAGAGACAGACAAAAATTCTAAAAACTATAGATCCGGTCTATAGATAATAATGACTATTTAAATAAGATTTTACAAAAAATATTGAATGTACAGATTCGGCTTAGTTACAATTTTATTTTATTATATATATATATATATATATATATATATATTATATATAATAAATATATAAACAATAAGAACATATATGAATACAATTACAAATATTGTTAATTGAACAGCATATATTTGTAAAATTTTAAAGCAAAGACGGTTTTATTTAAATCAATCCTTTTCAACTAACTTTAAATTGAGGAAAAGCCTCGTGCGTTTCGTGAATTAAAAAAAGTAGATGCCAGAAAAGTGTTATCTGCAGAGGTTAGATGCACTTTAATATGATTAACTAAAAATAAATTATTCCTCTTTTAAGTAAAAAGTATATTTATTTTAGCAGAAAACACATGTTTTTTTCCACATTCATCTTTTAGATAGGTACGCATTTACTTAATTAAAATTTTAAATTGTAGGTCAGAATTCAATAGATTTCTAAATCAGTCAAGTAAATCTACATCTAAAACAACAGTTCTCGCTTTATTCTCCCCCGTGCGAAAGGGGGATTAATGTTAGTTACACACCCGTCCCTCGAAGCCCTTCGCGTTTTATATTATGGAAGGAACTACATATTTTTCTGACTTAATTCATATATATCGGTAGCTTATTTTCGTAGTATGTTCATAAATTATAGCGTATAACCTTTCTAAACTAACCCACTTTTAATCGTGCAATCTATACAAAAATCGGTACAGTAGTTTCTGAGATTAGACAGACGAAACACAAACTCAGTGCGACGGGGGTCTTTAATTTATAATATGTACCTAATTCTGCAGGAACGTACATGCGACCTAAGCTTCGGGAGAAACTGGTTACTATAATACTTTTTCTATGCTTATTTATACTCTTATACAGCTGTATATGAAACATCATCAGGCTCAGCGGATATGGATGACAGGATATGACGGTTAGAGAATGATATGATAATGACAGGTGGTATGACAATATTGTACCTCTTCCTTGGCAGATTTGGGGTCGGCGACCTGCAGCGTCTCGTCGGGCGGGAGGCGCCAGGAGCCGCCGCCGCCGCCGCCGCCCGAGCGGTCCGTGTGGCCGGTGGCGTGCATGCGCCGCCGAACCCGCGCGCGCGCCCGCCACCGCGCCGCCCTACGCGCCCGCGCCCCGCACCGCCCGAGCGCCCGCGCGACACGCGCCACACGCACCCCGCGCAACACCCGCAAGCGCCTCCATCACTGTTGATAGAATATATTTTTCAGTTTACCATGAATTACTGATGTGAAACTAAACGCGTGCTTGGAAATACACATATACCTACAAAATAAAATAACAATAGAATATTTAAATAAATATTTGTAATTTTACTTGAACTGACACTAAAAAGCTACATATAATACACGTTACAAAGTCAATAAAAAATAATAATATCCTCCTGATTGATCCATTTACACACAACTGGGCATAAAATATTATGGTGTCAATTTTTCAACTCCGGGTTGTTACTGAAATTTCTAGACTAAAAACAGAATGACTAAACTTAAGGTACAAATTGAGATTCGAGCCCAGGATCTGCGGATCTGCGGTCGTACATGTTAGCCACTGTAGATGACGAAGGCAGTTGAACAAAAAAAAAACAAATAATAAAAAAAACGTGAGAGGTTAGTCTACGCCGGGAGACCGGGGAAAGTAAATAACAATCTTGAAAGTTACACTGAACTCATTACGATACGAGTTATGTGCGCAACGAAAAGTAACAAGAGCGCCTGCTACATTTCCCCATTGAATCGATAAAAAAATATCTATAGTCCTGCCGGGCTTTTTCGGCAGGTATTTCCAAGATTTGAGCATTTTCTTTCCGGATGAGTCATAGAGTTAAATCAAAAGAATTGCAGAAAAAGAGTATAATTCCTAAGTGGAACAATATCAAAAAAAAATATTTGGCTTTTGACTTTATTAAGAGTACTATTTGGCCGGTTAAGACTATTACAAAATAAAAAAAAACTTTTTAGAAAAAATTGAGAGCAAAAGAAAGTGATGGATAAGGTATCTCTTTAATTGTTGAGTGGCACGGCACTGTCTACAACGCTGAAATTCACGTGATTGATCCCCAAAAACGTAAATAATTGTGTTGGCCGTTTATTTTGATATTGTCAACACGTTTGCATGACTCTGGGATCTTAAACCTAATCAATCTTTATAGCTGTAGCAACAATTACGTACATAGATGTTTGTTAGATAAAAATACAAACAAAATTAATATAAAAGTTCAGGTCTGTGAGCATATTTTTCTAAAGATCATATTTTCATTACTTTATTGAAAGAAGTTTTTTATCAAAAAAAAATCAGTACTCGGATTTGGGAAATTATCGGTATTACATCATCGTGCTTCCGAAAACTGTAATACTGTTATTCCTGCGTCTCTCTCAGGTTTGAGTGCACTAGAATATTTTCAGATATTTTTAGATGATTAGTTTTGAGATTGGTTAGCCTCAGAGACCAGAGCACTGTAGTACGCCGTAATCAAATCAGTCAGGAGTATGTCATTTTAATATATTCTTTACAAAATTTTAATAGGACTGAAATATCTTACTAATATAATATTATAAATGTCAGAGTTAAGATGTTTGGATGTTTGTTTCTCAATCACGCCAGAACGGCTGAATGGATCTGAATGAAATTTGGCACAGAGATAGATTATAATCTGGATTAGCACAAAGGTTACTTTTTATCTCGGAAAAATGTACGGTTCCCGTGCGGTAAATTTGCTTTTGTTTTTCTAAAGGCGAACCCGAGCGAAGTGAGGTTGAGCCGCTATTAACAGAAATATATTCGAAGTTAATAGTAAAGTTAATTAAAGCAATAGGTGGAATTTAATATGCAACAAAACTGAACTATTTTTTCTGATAATTGCATATTAATAAAGCTTTCTTTTAGAATAAAAAAATGTACAATTTTTATTTACATATTTTTTTATTTTTATTAATTAATTGTTTCATGGTAATAGAGAAAAAGAAAATCAATTAAGTTGGTATACAAATTGAGCGCTGTAAACTTAATTAGTAAGGGTGGCCTCTTTCCAAACAAATCCCCATTAAAAATATCGCTTGGCGCCGTAAATGCATACTTATTTTACATGAAATATTAAGGCCATAAAAATATTGCTTGGTGTATAATAAATATTTTATTTTCTTTTTCAAACTTGAAGAACAAAAACTTTGTAAGTCAATTTTAAGTTAATCATCTCTAACTTATTATGTAGATAAGCTACGTTTATATATGTAAAGGTACAAGTAAAGCTGTGGTTTAATTAACTTTTGTTAGCCTATGATTAAAACACTTACAATTCCACTACAATTTCTATGCATTTTTTATTTAAAAACGTATATAAACATAAATACATATAATATGGTAATAAAGATATTTTATGTTTTAAAATATTTCTATTTACAAAATATGATCGATGATTGAAATCTATTATATGTTTAATTAAATATGTACAGTCTATATCCAATTTTATACGCGTTTTCTCTTTTCTAACAGATATGAATTATTTCATTCAATTCACTCAATGGGGCCTATTGACGCTTGGATGAGTGCATTTTCCATCCGGAAGAAGATTAAAATGCTCTATAAGTAATATTTTCTTTAGCAGTATATACAATATTCTTATAACGGGCTACTATAATAATTGTAAAAATTTGTATTTGTATGTTAGTTACTTCTTCACACCGAAAAAGCTAGACAGATTTGGATAAAATTTTAATATATCAATAGAATATGACCTGCAGGAAAACATAGGCATTTTTGGCATCTAGGGACCGTATGTCGCTGGTTATATGCTATATTTTTTAGCCCCCGACGCAAAAATAGGTGTGTGTGTGTATGTGTGTGTCTGTCTGTGGCATCGTAGCTCTCAAACGGATGGACCGATTCCGATGCGGTTTTTTCATTTGAAAGCCAGTTTCCTTGCGGTGGTTCTTAGTTATGTTTAGTTAATATCGGTCCAGCAGTGTAAGAGTATCAGCTCTTTTCCAAAATGATGTAAGACATTTTGGCTTATGAATACCCGATTAAGTGCTTCACGCGTGCCAGTGTAATCGTTAAATGACAATTAATTTGCGTAGGGGTTTTTTTATTTTTTTTTATTTATAATTATCTAAAGTATTAGTATGAGGATGCTTTTACATTTTTATATAGGTGTCTATCCTTTCTATCAGCAATAACACTCTATTTACTCTCGAGTATGTCACAATCTTTTTTTCAAATGTAGATGATACTAGTGGAAAAAATAAGATTTGGTACACGTACATATATAAAGTTAGGTTTAATATTTTGAAATAAAATACAAGCATTAGACATTTTATCTTTCTTTTTTTATAAATAGATGCTCAAATGCAATATATATTTTTATTATCAGTTTTATTATATGTCCATGAGGATGAACCTCAGCGAAACAACGTCGCTGGATGAAACTTGTGACACAGCACCATTGAATCCACTCCACAATATCTATAGATAGGCAATTAATTTAATATTTGCTATATCGTGTTCATCGCATTGATTTTCAAATCATAAATATCTAAAAAAATGGTAATGACATATTCTGATTCTGTGACAACTTGATTAGGAATTGTTATTTCAATACATTTTTTTAGACTTTTTCTGTAAATTGTGCCAACACGGCACTCTTAGAAGCCACTAAACAAAGAAATTGAATTGAATAGAATTTTTCTTCGAGACCGATTGTACAATATCATCTTATCTAAGCCCTATTTTATTGAACGTCTATCTCCTCTCTTGTATATTATTTTTTGAAATATGTTAGCATTTACTATATTTGTTAAAAATTATCGTTTAAACGTAGGTATATTCTATTTTTTTTATTTTACCATTGAAGTAATTTAAATAGAATGAGTATTATATTCAAATAACACTCACAAAAAGTTAAAAGCTACAGTAAATCTGCAAGCAAATTCGTAATTAGCAAAATTTATTTATGTAAGAAAATAATTTACGAACGTAATTCGTTAATAGCTTAACGCGTAGCTTTGGAGTATAGAGTGGTACTGGAACGCCGCCAATGCCACGCGCTAACTTTCACTACTTCATTATCTCATATATTTCTACGTAAATTTTACGATTCCTAAAACTTATTTCAACGATTGTGATTTTTACAATAGATCTTTACGTAAATATTTTTTTACATACAAGTGTCCATTGCACATGTCGGTAAAATTTGTACGTAAATTATTATTGTCATAAGTCAAAGAAAATGAATGAGTGATCCATCGCCAATTCGAATCAAAGAAATATGCACTATGATTTGGGCACTATGCCCGTAAGTTGAGGGACGACTATAGAAAATTTTGTGGATTTGGCAAGAATACTGCTGACATAGATTCCTTTTTTTAAAGTCGCGCAGAAAAGAGTGTTAATTGAACTAGGCTGGCGGAAAACGCTTTGGGGTAAGCTTTAATGGTTTTATCTAGCCCAAAAAATGTCAGCACATCTGTTATAATTCACAGAGATTCACATCTGAGTCGTGGCGTTAAAAAGTTAACGAGTTAAATATTTAAATAGAGATGCGCGACGAAAATTGAAATACCTCAGTAATTTTACTTGCAGATGAGAGATTATCTTAACGTACTCGTAGTTTCATTTTAAGGTCTTCAAATTGCAATCTGTAGAACCGTATATTTCGAAAGGATGAATATTATTTCGAAAATGGTAAAAAGATGCAGTTGGATAACAACAAAACCGGCAAAATGATATTCAGAATACTTTTATTTCATTTTTGTATTAGTAGGCTAGGTAGATACTTTAGATTTATATTCACAGTAAAACTCACATCTCGGAGGGTTTCCGAAATGGTCATAGCTGCAATGCAGATGCTGGGCACCTGAGTAGCGTGAACTATAAGTGGGATAGTCAAATGTATTTTGAAACTTTAAACTTTATTTGGACGATGTGTTTAATAAGCTATGTTGTTAAAGGATAAAATATGTAAATAGTAAATTATTATTTACTATTAGTATTACAAAAATATTAAAAAAAACACGTGTTTGCGTGTGTACTACGTACTTATGTACGCACGTAAGAAGTTATATTT